AATACGACTGTCATTTTTCGAAACCGTTGCTTATGTTGGCTCGTCATTTGACGATTCACTACTTGAAGCCATCAAGTGAAAGTGCATTCACTGCATCTAACGTTACGCAAATCGCGCACCGTGTGTGTGTGTGTGTGTGCTTGTATGTGTGCTTGTATGTGTGCAGAAAACTGTGAAGAACAAGTGTTTCAATTCTTTTGTTGCAATTACTATTTCCACCGCGCACTGTGTATCATTTGTCATACCAAAAATATCCGCATTTCGTCATCGCCACCGCACTGCCACACCATATCCATCGTCATTCTTTTGTTCGGCTTGGCTCGGATCGTTGTTGTTGTTGAGTTTTGTCATTCAGTTCGGTCAGCAGTGCGATTTGTTGCCACCGTGAACGAGCATCAAAAATCGCATGCTTTCCAATAAATCATAATCTTGCGCCACATGTTCAATTGTGCGCCTGTGTTTAATTTGCCTTCGATGAGAATGAATGAGCGGATGAGCGTGCGCGCGCGCATCGTATGCATAGACAATAATAACTATAACTGCTTGAAATGAAACCGAAATAAAAAACGATGCATTTCGGTTTATTTTTATACTCTCTCTCTCTCTCTCCTTCGCAATTCTCTTCCTGGTATCAGTTATGTGACATGGATTTTGGATGCGCATCCTCCATCTTTTATGATTTGTATTATTTTTGGCGATAATATTGAAATAATGTCATATCGACCAAGCTTAGGTTTAATCGGGTGTCTTGATTCAAGTCACATTCGATTTTATTTCTTATCATCACCTTTTTTTTACTGTTTTTCCTCTAACATTTTGAAGTGTTATCATACAGATAAATGGCTTTTGTTCAAGGAGACGAATGAGAAAAAAAAATCGATATCAGTTCAGTCATTTCTGAAGACTTCCATTGAAAAAAAAAACCGCATATGAATTAATCCACACTTCGAATCTCGTCAAAACTCATTTTCTTGACAGTTTAAGTGTGTTCTGTTGCCAGCGCCTCAAAAGTTGTCTCATTCTTTAGTATTTACTGCATAAAAACTCTGTGAAATAGAGAGATCATCCGAAAATACATCGGCAAGCAAAAATTATGGGACATTCGGAGCATTGTCTCTGATGTTCACACGAGCGCACCAAACATCGTTGTCGCATTTTATTTCGCATTGAAATGTGTCCATTTCTCTTGTTGTTGATACACTTAGAACATTGAATGAGGCTGAAAGAAGAAGAAACAAAAAATGATGAGCAAAAACACAGAAAAGACCGCCTGATTATGAAATGAAAACGAAGACATAACACACTCACTATGACAACTGCGTTGGATTTGATTCGTTTCATTTTCATTTGTGTGACTATTTGAATTATTGTTTGCAACATTTTGACCAGTCGTCCAATCAAATTGTTGGTCGAATTGCTCGATCCGTTTCACATGCTTTTATTTCAGCTTTGATTTCTTTATTGTTTCTCTAGTTCTTTCATCAGATGATGTTTTTATTCACTCAGAAAAAAAAATGAATACTTTACGACTCTTCGGGCGGAATTAATGACAAAAAAATACATCTATAAATTTGACACGCAAATTTTTCATTTTTATTTGGTTTCGCTTTTATTTTAATTATTGGGATTTATGGTTGGCGAATGGATCAAGATCCACTTATGACGTAAATCGTGTGTATGTGTGTATGTTGAGTGGTGTGTTTTTGGAAAGAACGAAAAATCCTCGAAAATCAATTGTGAAAATGTGAACATTTTCGCCATAAAACGTGCAAATTCGGAATTTTCGATCGAATTTATTTTCTTGTCAAATGATTGGAATTTACAATTTTTTTTTTTTCTCTTCAAGTGATTAGCATTCATGCGGTGAACTGAGATTGAAACAGGTGGATAAATGAAAGTATGTTTCATTTGAAAGAACCTTCCATTTGATAGATTTATGTGTTTTTCTCCAAATCTTGGCCATTCTAGCATGGCGTCGTTGATCAGATGTTACAATCACTAGCGAATCGAGATTCGTATTGTTCTTCGCCTTCTGTTTTGCACAACGTTGCCAAAAAGGAAATGTGTAGATGTCGTTTCACTTTGAATGAGTTTTATCAAATCTTCTTACATTGTATGATGCATTTTACGGTGGTTTGATTTTGTTGTGCGCTTCTCTTTCTATCACTTTCGATGACTTAGAGCGTTCGCCATTGCATCTAGTGTGCGCGGGTGCGAGCGCGCGTTGCACAAATGAAATTTTCCTCAATGAAAACTGTGAGTGTACGTATTTTTAGCCGCAAAAATTTTGTTTCCGTTTTCATAATTCGGTGTGCTGTACGCGGTGTGTTGTTTTGTTTTGTATTTTTTTCGCGTTGTGCCAACCGTATATTACATGTTGGGTTGTAAATGAACCCACATTTGTGATGCCGAATCATAAGATTAATATGCACGATGAGGTATAAATGCACGCTCACCGCAAACGAAATGAAAGGAATGCCTTCTAGTTCGCCTGTTTTCCTCGTCTTTCTTCTGCTGCGAGAGCAAACGAGTGAGAGAAAGAGAGACAGAGAGAGAGAAAGAGAGGGAGGGAAAGAAAGATCGTTCGTTTTCTTAATCACCAAATAAATGCGTTAATTTTAGTGTTTGAATTTAATAATTCATGTGCATATGGACTTCTTTTCATCGTTTTCTGCGTGCGCGCACCCGCTTTTGCGCTCAACAACACAGCAACTGTCACACATTTCTTTCGTTGTTTCTTTTTCGTTTTTGTTTTTCTCATTTCGAAATGATTTTTCTGTATATTTGAATTAAGTGTTCCTGTGTGCGATTGAGTGAGTGAGCGAGCATGGAACGCGATGAACAGGCACTCGCCGAAGAAGAAGAAAACAACAAAACAAAAAACCGACAAATTCACACTATTATGTAAGGCAAACAGATGATTTTCGCATTTTGTCCGAGAATATGCATTCTTAGTTACCGTATGCGTTCCACAAATGATGCAATTCCTTGATACAAACAGAATGTGAGCGCGTGAGCAAGCATCCAGGAACAACGAAAACGAAATAAAAGCAAGAAAAAAACAACAAAGAGCGAAAGAGATAGAGTCATGCAGAGAAAAATTCGCTAATTTTGCGCACACAAAAATATTCAAGCTTTGATCATTTTTGATCGAGTTGGTCGTTGTTGGCCTTTTTTTCACATTCAACATTCGCACTTGCATCGTGAAGGCGCGCGCGCGCGCTCAATCGCTCACGCACCCGCCAGCACATACGCGATGCGCGCAATTATTACAGATATTTGTTTACTATAATGCAATGCAGTTCAAACAATGTATGAACAAACGGCACGAGTCAATGTGTTTTAATTTTAGAAATCGACTATGGACGCTAAATGATGTGCAAATATATCAAATGGAATAATGACTGGTTATGCCAGATTCTTGGAACCGGAACTACAATACGCATATAACGTGCAATTGAGAATGTGCGGCTGAAAATAGACACCGTGCCATGGAAGTGTTCGAAACATTCCACAGTTTATGCATTTGCCAATTTCGATTCAGCGCCACGTAAAACAAACCATGTTGACAAAAAATTTTGCTGATCATTTCGATAAATGACTTATTCGCGATTCACGAATTGCGAAGAAAAAATGCATTTGAATTTTCGGAAATTTCAAGTTTACTTTGGCACATAAGCTGACTTTCTGGTTAACCATTGATTTTTCGGTAAAACAAAATTGGATGCGTTATCATTTTTGCGAGCCGAATAAATCATTACTCAACCTGAACGCGTGAACAAAGCCGAAGAATTTTCAATATTCTGATGTTTTTTCACCGCCTAAATTGGAGCCATTGCCAATGGACCATCGGTAAGCGTTTGACATGAAGGGCACTTTGAGATCGCGCCGAAAAAGCGCTCGCCTATCGAATCGATTATATTGTTAAGGTTTGACGATTTATTATTACTAATGGAAGTTATGTAAAACAATTTTTGATTCTCTCTATAAATAGTCATAATGGCTGATCTACACACGGCGAAAATGTACATACGAATATACGCTGCATACTCAATATAATGCGCTTAAAAGAATGAAAGCCAACAAACTATTTGTTATTATTTGTGCAATTAAAAGCGGTTCAATAATTAAATAAACGTTTTTAATTGCGTTGCATTCGGTTTCCGCCCGCGTGACACATTTCAACAGTCAATATTGATGTAGATCAGAGAATCATCAATCTCGCCTGCGTCCATACTCTCGCAATTCGCAAATCGAAGGATCTCTTGGATCGTCGTACACACCGAATATTCGTTCGTAATAATTTTCGATCATCTTTGGATTCATTTCAAAATCAAAGGAGAGAGAGGGAGAGAGGGAGAGAGCTTTCATTACTAATTGTCGCTAATTACTCATATGAACCGAAGTGAATGAGTGCGAAAGAGACGGAATGAAAAATTGATTGGGAGTCACTGAAAATTATACACACGTTGTCTTTTGAAATGAGACGGTGACTCGGAACATTTTTCACACATTTAATATGCAGCGGATAAATAAACAAAAAAAAAACGGCAGAGAGGAAAATCAAAACGATTTGAGCCTCGAATTTGTTTGCGCCGAATGTTGGCATTTGGTTTTTTTCCCTGGGATTGCTTCATTTAAAATATGTCCTTTGAGATTATCGAACGTATACATTTAAAAGATCATTAATTAAGTCTCGACAAACGATTCCTTTGATTTTTTTTCTCTCTTCCCTGCTGATTCCAATCAAAACAAACAAAAAACAAATGAACCGTTTAGAATGAGAGGCTCACTTCGGCCAAGGACTTGAATGCGAAGCATGTAGTTCGATAAAGTGAGCTTCATATCCTAGACAGTCGAATTTCATTGAAATTGCTATTCAAATGGCCACTGATCGACTAATTCGCCCATTTCTCTTAATTTCGTTAGTTATTTAGAGGGCGTTCATTTGAAATATTTGCCAGCGTTAATGTTACGGTGTTTTGTTTGTATTTTTGCAGAATACATTAGACGGAATGACCGGCAATGCTGGACCCAATATGTCACCAAATTTGTTGGAGAGCACATCAAAACCGGATTGGAATCGACTGAGCTTGGAGAACTTGCAGGAATTGAAAAATCGAATTTTCTCACAGGGCTACGGTGTTGAGAGTCTTGCGGCCAAAAATCCATTCTTACCAACGCTCCCATATCTACATCGAGCTGCACAATTCCCGATCGTTCCGCAAACCGTACCGTTTGATACAGCCGCCGCATTTTCATACTTGGCCCAAATGACAGCCACCGCCAATGCCATGCACTCAATGCCCGACTCAAATGCCGTGGCCGCCGCAATGGCATCACAAATTAAAAAAGAAAAATCCATCACACCACCGCTGAACCATCGTCACGCCTCTTCTGCCACACCATCGCCCTCAAGCTACGATAACCCAGATGCACCGTTGAATTTGTCGAAACCAAAGCAATCGTTCGCCAATCACTTGGGTCGCTCGGTAAGTTCAATATATTTGAATCAAATACAAGAATCATTTTCCAGAATTTCCATTCAGCCAGTTTTGCCCAGCAAAAAGTGTTTCTTCCAGAAATCGTAATTTAATTTCCGAAAAACTGAGTGTTTTGTTCAATGAACATTATGTTGTAATTTGCAGGTGACAAAGGGGAACAAATACGATCAAGTGCAGGGAATTGCAAATAAAACCGATCAAATGCGATCAAGTATTATGGAAAATAGTGCAGCCCTTGAGGCAACGCTGCGAAACAGCAACAACAATGTGCAGAATAATAATTCCGGTAACTGTGTAGTCTCATCGTTGCATCGTGCATTTATGCCATATTCACAGGCGGCTACGGTAGCGGCCATGAATGCGGTCAATTCATCATCGAACCACAAGCAATTGGGTTTTCATCATCAATTGCCACCATCAATGGCTGACATTGCAAATGTGGGCAATAATTCGGGCGGAAATTTAATGGTCGATGAAACGGATATGCTGAACGTTTGGTCGAGTCATGCACATCATTCGCACCACGATCACGATGACCATCGAAATGGTTTGAAAATTGGTTTCCATGATCAAGGCAATTCCCAAAAATCAGGTGGTTCTCATATGGAAGAGGAGAAAGTGCGAATGGTGCGCCAATCACGGGGTAATCGAAACGCTGGCGGCGGTAACAATTCAAATAATTCGGTACACAATTTGGGCGATTCAGCGTGTGGCATCTCAGAAGGTCTCGGCAACAGTATTAGCGGAGGTGGTGGAAAAGCTCATATTAAGCGACCAATGAATGCATTTATGGTGTGGGCCAAAGATGAACGTCGCAAAATACTCAAAGCATGCCCCGACATGCACAATTCAAACATTTCGAAAATTCTTGGCGCACGATGGAAAGCCATGACCAATGCCGACAAACAACCATACTATGAGGAACAGTCACGCCTATCGAAATTACACATGGAACAGCATCCCGACTACCGTTATCGCCCTCGACCAAAACGAACCTGTATCGTTGATGGCAAGAAAATGCGCATCTCAGAGTACAAGCTGCTCATGCGAAATCGCCGCGCTGAAATGCGACAGCTCTGGTGTCGTGACGGATCCAGCGCTGGATCAGTTGGTGCAAATGGTGCGTTTTTTTTCTCTCTATATTATTGCTTCTGTTTTGATGTTTTTTCATAAGCTTAGGATTTTCGCTCTGTATATTTGTCCTAAGCCATAGACTTTCGCAGAAATTCGAACTTGAATTGAAATTCACCGAATTCATTCTAATTTTTTTTCTCGCTTTATTCCTTCGCAATCGGCAGGAAATGAAAATGTTGGCTTCTTACACGATATGTCGGTGGCATCAACGTCGGGCGGTGCTGGTAGTGGCAGTGGGCGATCGGGTTCACCAAATCAATATTATTATCCATATCCACCTGACAGTATATCACCAAGTGGATTTTCATCGGAGCTCGATTCAAGAGACGACGAATGACTTTTCAAATCGTTTTTAAACTGACTGATTTGAGAAGGGGCCAACGCATCCAGAAGTGCTTTGTCCACCTGAGATATTGGTGATCAAACATTCCGGCAGGTCATCTAATCCTAAACTCACTTAAATTAATTTCTATGGTAAATGACAGCGAAAAGCTAAAGCGTATTGACATCCATGTAGTTGTGGTACAAGATGAAAAACGCAGACGAAGAAAGAAGACGAATTGGCCGTGAGAGAAAAATAATTGGTAGTTCAACAAAATGAACAAAATGAATGAAAGAGGCAGAAAATAGTGCAAACAGATTCATGTAACTTAACAAAATGTAAGGCAAACACATTGTTTGGAAAATAAACAATACAAAATTGCTTTTAAGTCTATTGATAAGTTTAGATAAGTTGATTCGAATATATATAAAAATCAAATGGAGCATGAAAACCCAGTGACAAAAAAAACACGCATCTAAGTGGAAAAAAAACATATTGAGCGCGAGGAAGAGAGAAAACAAATGTCGTCTTAGGGCAAAAACTATATATGGCAATGATACCTAGAAATTGATTAGTTCAACCGAGGTACAAATAATAGTGGACACGAGAAAATAATCAATAATTTACCGATGAAAACCGATGATAAATCGTACAATTCCTGTAAATAATCTAAAAAATTGAAGCAACAAATCACTTGATTTTTATTGTTCCTTTCCCATCACTTTCAAAGTTCTCTGCTCACTTTAGGTGGTACAAAAAAAAATGAAGTAAAACTACAAAATATTAGACACAAATTTATCGCCAGTAAACAAAAATACGGCTTTCTTACCATTTTCGGCTAGACGTGGAATTTCCACTCGGAATACTTCATTCGACACTAGTTCAAATGCTAAATTAGCATTGCTAATTTACATCAATTGCCATTCTTGAACTGGAATTTGAATATACATTCAAATAGAAAATAAAATCGAATCGAGTGCGAGGAATTTTTCCAATCGAAAATCAAGCAATCGTTCTAATTTCAAAATTATCGATTAACGCGTAGAAATAATATTAAATGTAATCGAATCTAGAAAACAAAATCACACACAATTGTTGATCCGAGCGTCGAATTAAGACGTGGACAATTAAGACACTTCACATGGGAGAGAAAATTTTATTGCTTGCAATTAAATAGAAGATCGAAGTGGAAACTGCGTGTGTGGTATAGACAGAATTTCGGCAGAAAATATTGATCAAAATGAATTTAAAAAAAAAATTGAACTTACTGAAATGAAGGAATACATCCAAAAAACGGTTAAATTTTCAAAAAGAAATGACAAAAGTTTTGCATAAAAACGTGGAATTTTTCTTAACGGCAACCATAAAAACCATAAACATTGTGAAGCCAACAAGAGTAAGAACAACACAAGAAAAAAAAAACTAATCGCAAATATTTTGAGAAATTTTGAGAATGAAAACTAAGCAAAAAAAAAAACGGAGGAATCAAGGAGAAATTGATTGTTTACATAATATTTAGATCTAGCTAATAAATACACAATGATAAAACTATGCAAATTTTAATTAATATTTAAATAATAATTTTACCTGTACATTTATATAACAGACGTAAAAAAGAGAGACGAAGAAAGAAGAAAATGAGTGAAAATTGCGGTAGGAATCACAAAATGCAAATATAGAAATAGCATGAGCATGAAAACAAAGTAGCGCAAAGAAAAAAAAAGCATTAGGCATGAATGAAGAGGAAAACACTAATAGAACACCCGGCTAAAAAAGATGGAGAAGACAGACAGTTCATAAACAGAACTTGTATCTCGTGCTCTTTTTTTTTTTCTAAGAAAAACATTATGTTTAGGTAAAATAAATGTAAGCATTCATGACAGATTTTAATAGAAATCATGAAAAATGAAGAAGTAGAAGAAGAAAAAATGATGAAACTCAAACAGTAGTTAATGGCTAATCATCAACCCGCGCCCATTATTTTCTCTCGTATATTCCCCCTGTGTAATAATGTTGTAAAATTTTGATTGTTTAAAAAAAAATTCTTTTCTGTGCCAAATACTCAAAATGGGAAAAATCGATTGATGCGCAACCGGCTGAAGCGAGCGCAATCACATAGAAAACGCCTCGCTGGTCCTTTAAATCCAATCTGGAGGGGCCAATTGTATGTAGCAAGCCGCATAGCACCACGACTTTCCGAACTGTACTGTAGCAATTTATTCTAGATATTTTATTTTTTATGAGCTGTCACATTTTCTTTTAGTCTAATTACAATAATTGTCTGCGCAATTTTTTTTGTTTTGTTTGATTTGCATCGTGCATGCATATACAAACTGATTTGAATGGATTTCATTTGTTTAAGGAATTCTAGTGAATGCCATAATTTTTTTTTTATTGACTTTCTTAATTTCAGAGAAAAGAGGATGATTTGGCGAATGATAACAGAAAAAATATACGAAGAAAGAAAGAGAAAAAAAAAAATATGAATGTGAATGATGAACCATAGGCCGTGCATCATTTTTTGTTTTAGCACTCAGAATGCTAACGCCAACAAAGTCCAGAAACAAAATAGAAACAAAAAAGTGAAATAAAACGTGCAATTTTTCTAATCGTTCATTGCCATTAATTCTTTTGTGACACTGATTCGGGGGTGTTCGAATGAGATTTGGATTAGCATTATGTGCCATTTTTTTTTTCAAAGGTGTAATTGTCTTTACTAAAGTGCTACCATTTTTTTTTAAACAAATGAAAATGATTCGATTTTTACAGTAAAATTTTTTTTACTTAGCTCTCTCTGTTGAAAATTTTACTTCAAATAATCCATACACTTAGTTTTTGAAAAAAAGATACACTTGATTTTAAAGAACTCTGTGACATAATATCATAACTCAGTTTGAAATAACACACATAGAAATGGAGTTGTGCAAGAAAAGACTTGAATTTGATTGAGAATTCACATTTTAACAATGTTAATCATTGCTAAGAATGATGTTGATGAGATAATGAAGAAAGAAACTAGGAAAAAAACGCATACTCAAAATGGAAAACATTGAATTTTCTCTCTTGTTTATTTTCAAAAGAAACCAATCTGTATAAAAATTTACACTCAATTTCTTTTGTGCACCCCTTACTCGGCCAATCATCATACACGGCACACGTCCGTTGCGATCCATTACCAAATATTGATCTTCCCTTATACAAAATAAGTACTCAATCTTGTAGGAATTTTTTTCTTTTTAAATTAATTCATTTTTTTTTGCATATTGAATGACTACCCATTGAAAATGAAAAAAAAAAACAAAAACAACGGCGGGCACTTGTTGCTCAGTGCGCGCAATGTACATGTGAAGAGAGTGTATGAAAACAAAATAAATTAAATGAGATTTAGTGTTTATCTTTAGATAACTACAACAAGAACAACAACAAAAAAAAACATAAATTAGATTGAGTGATTTTAACTATTACATGGAGTAGATGTCAAATGTGAACAATTAAGCTATAACTTAGAACAAAAAAAAAACGAAAGAAGAAAAAGAGAGTAAACAAGAAAAAAAAATAGAATTGATTCATGAAAAAAAAAAATGTATTCCCTTTACTCATAATCTACGAATATGTCTCTATTTCTGATCATAACAATGCGAAGACAAATGCCGTTGACCTATTGCAACGCGCGTTGCCCAAACATTATTATGACCGAAAATAGCAACTCAACACTCACAAATAAGAGCACACACACACAACAAAATTCTACTTATATAAATAATGTAATGGTGAAGTAAATACTTGTAATTATTACATATATAAATAAACAAAAAGTAACCATTTATATATCTTAATTAAATGCGCGAGTATCACAAATAAAGCAAAAGCAACAAAACACATCAGAAATTTAAAAGAACAACAACCCTAAACACAACCATTTTGATTCTCAAACTACATCGATTTTTGTAGTTTAATATTTCACTTATACATCGCATCAAAAATGAAGCCAAAAATGTAGAACCTGTATGCGTGTATCTTTGAAAATAAAAAGAGTTTTTTTTTTCTCTCTCGCCATTCTCAACAAACAAGAAAATTGAATGCAATATTTTGCCACCGATTTTCTTACAAAAAAAAAAAATCTTAAAATTACTCTTTTTGCTAGATTCCAACACTTCAATATACGAAACCACGGAAAGCTAACATTTTTTTTGGTCAAATTCAACCGAGGAACAACTCACTTTCTCTCTCTCACACACACACACACACACACAAGAATTGATACACACATTTTATTCAGAACATTTTATGATACTGATACACGCAATCTCACAACAACCGATAAAACATCTCTTGCAATTATACATGAGATATAACTATTTACTATGAATATTAAATATAAAAAAGTTTACATGAATAAAATATCTTTAATCAATATTGAAAAAATAAACGCAACGCATTTTTTCATTGCCCTTCTCTCCGTCGATTTGGATGGGAGCTTTGGGAGGTTTTTGTAAAAGAGATATTCTAACTGATAATCATTCTTTGCAGCATTGAACAGGTTCAAGTACTGAGTACGTAAGTAAGTAAGTAAGATGTAAGTAAGTGGCGGTGAAAAATTGAATGGCATCTCCACTCACATGCCAATTGATTCTAGGTTTGGCCAAAGTCGATGAAAACTTTATTTCTGACATGGCTTGAACACAGATTTCTAATTTTTTCTTCTTCGAAATACTTCTGTCGCTTATTTAATTGATCAAATTCAGAATTTTAATTTTGATTTTCTTTTTCAATGTCCTGATTATACCACTTCGTCTCAAATTTTACGTCATCTCAACTTCTCTCATGAAGATATTTTCATTCATATTTCAACAGAAAAAAATATTTCTCCCATTGAAATGTACTGTTTTTTCAGAAGAAATCCTCCCTACATTGTCTCGCTATATTCTGATGAATTTCAATTGAGCAACAAATATCGATATTGTATCACCGGCCGATAGATGGCGTTCAATTTTCGAAAACAAATTCGAAGATGTAACCACAACAAGCCGATTAGCGACAGGCAGAGAGTTCATTTAGTCGAAATGTCTTTGGGCTATTGTTGTATATACACTTGCAAAGCCCGAGATACAGTATACGAATGTATAATTGAATGCAACGCGACTAAATCGTACCACAAACACAAAAGATGATTATATGAAGGAAGAGAACCGACAAACGCCGCAGATCGTATTTTCGTGAATCTGGTTTTTGTTCCATTGTTCTTCAACTGTGAAACGAACTTTGACCATTGCGTGATGGTTTCACCAAAGAAGCGAAAATTGGTCGAGCGAGAGAAAGAGAGAAGGTGTCAATGAAACATTGACAGAAGGACGTATGGCGATAACGAAAAACTCGAGAAAAAAATATTTTGTCTGTGAAACAATGCAGGAAATGGGCTTAAAAGCAAATAAAAGCACATCGACCACAGCGATGATTGATACTACTTCTCTCTATATAACATATAACACTTGTCCCTCGTCTGATGCTATTTTCAGGACGAAGGTGGTAAAATTTTTGTTGTGTGTATACGAAGAAATACGAATAGTTTGCATCTGACGTCGAAATGATGGCTGCACAAAAATCGTGTACGCAGCACACAGTGTGAATTAAATTCGTGTGTACACGGCCGTGTGTGATCACAATGTCATCAGCTGATATTCACGTAACAACGACTGTCACCATCGTCGCATCGTACCTGTCATCATTGAAATTTTGAACATATCTATGTGAACGCGAGATATACACAGAGAGACACAGTGTTTTTATTGTGGCATTCATTTGACTCGTTTGATTCATTTGATATTCACCAGTTTTTTGTTTCGGATGATTTCTTTTTTTTTTGCAAAGGGGACACGGAACCAATTCGAAAATAATATCAAAAACACTCAAAAGTGAGTGTGAGTGAAAACGCCAATTTATTTGCTAATTTAATCGCGTATTTCAGAATGCAATTTATCCATTCGTCATACACCATGTTTTGAACATGTATTTTAATCGTTATTTAACGCTCAGGGGAAAGTGACGAGATCATTGAACGAAACAAGAAAAAAAAAAAGAATCGTGTTTACAAGTGATATAGTAAATAAACTGGAGAAGCGTAAAGCAAATGCATACAATGACTTGTGGAGTGAAAGAAATTGACTTTTGGGCTAAAATCAACCGACGATTACTGGTTTTGGTCAAGGAACATCACACGAGATACACATCATTTACGCGAAATTACTCATCGACTTCCGATAATGACACTTCAAATACGGGCGAACCGAACGCACCAACAGCAACAAAGAAAAACAAGGTCAAAGATGACGAAATCAAAAAGTCCGTATTCATCTCACAGTCACACGATATTTTCACAAATTTGGCGCTTGAAGACTGGCTGTATCGCAATTTCGACTTCACAAAGCATCATGTCCTCATGCTATGGTCAAATGATCCATGTGTCGTTGTTGGACGCCATCAAAATCCGTGAGTACTATTTTACAAATGGCAATTGGTTGCAAACAAACGGAAAAATTTCCTTCATTGTCATTCGATTACAAATCTTTGAAAAATTTCCAATTTCAGATTTTCCGAAGCAAATGTGAGTAAACTACGGAACCATGGCATTGAGTTGGCGCGACGGAATAGCGGCGGTGGAACGGTGTACCATGATCGAGGGAATATCAATTTAACATTTTTCACGCCACGCGAACGCTACAATCGCAACTACAATTTGAATATTATAACTCGAGCATTGTTTCGTGAATGGGAGATAAAGGCAGATATATCACCGCGCGACGATATCACATTGCATGGCAATAAAATATCGGGCACTGCGGCCAAATTAGGCCAGAAAAATGCCTATCACCATTGCACGCTATTGGTGAATACGGATAAAACGAGACTGAAAGATGCTCTGATCAAAGAGGATGTGCAGATTGTCAGTCGAGCGACGGCATCAGTGCGGTCGCCAGTAAAGAATCTCATCGATGTAAATCGTCATGTAAATGTGGCTCAGCTAAAAACGGCTATTGGCTATGAATTTCTACGAACAGCAGCAACGAGTCTAGACGATGGTGGTCGTGATTTGATGATGACACAAAGAGGTTTCCAACTGATTAATCCAACGGAAAATTGGTATCCTGGTTTAAATGAAATCCACGATCAATACACATCATGGGAATGGCGTTTTGGTAAAACGCCTAAATTTTCCGTACTCAAAACCATTCGACTCAAATGCGATGGCAAAGAACAAGATGTACAGCTAAAGGTTACAGTTGAAGGTGGCATTATTGTTGATATCGTACTTGTGCTACCGAATTGTGAAACAACCATTCCCGTTATTTCAACGTTTTGTGGAAAACCATATGATGAAGAGCATCTACTTAATATTACGAACGCAACGAAAGGCATTAGTCTGGATAATTTCATCAATGCCATCGATCATAGCCTTTAAAATTGTTTATTGTTTTCATTTTTGTAAACGATATATCGTAACTATAGTTATATTTATAGAGAATAACTTCCCCAGAAAAAAAAGATGAAAAAATTAGCTAAAGAATAAAAAAGAAATATTTTTCCTAAAAAAGAATAAAAAAGAAATGAAAAAACGCATTTTTTTAAAATAAATTTTTTTTTGTATTTTATAAATTTCGAATTATACAATCTAAATGAATTATCACATACTTAATAATATACGAAAAAGAAGGCGCGTGCGATAAAATATCGTCTGACATTGAAATACAATACAAAAAAAAATTAATATGAGTTCTCAATCAATTGACTTAAATAGTCAATTCCAATTCTCAATTAGAATTTCTCATCAAATTTGCGATTCCGCAATTTGTTCGATATGCAAATATACAAATTTTGTCATTCATTTGATTTGATTCGATTCGATTTTCTTTTCTACTCAAAATCATTGCTTGCTTTTCTCTTCATTCGTTTTTTTTTCATTCGTATTTGAGAGAAACTTTTTTTAAAATTAAATGTTATAAAAAAAGGTTGCTCGTGTTGATTGCACAATATAAAGTCAAAATCAATACATATTTAGAATGTGGGCATAATTCGGTGAGGTTCTTTGGGTGAAAAACATATATGTGTCAATGTGTGAATTGTTTGTTTAATAGTATGGGAATCATCGAAATAACTTTTCTTTTTAGTTCGTCTAAATTCGGAGGCACAATCTAGATAATTTCATTTAAAGCCATTTTGTAGGTTTGTGTGTTAATTCCAAAAAACGGACTTGTATTTACATAATGAATGATTTGGACGGTGGCCGATTTTGTATTATTTTTTTTTCCTTTAGTGTGTGAGAATGTCTTATCTTTTGATCTTTGATATTTTATTTTGTTTTGTTCTTTTTTTTTAAATTTAATTTACTTTTGATTATGTCTCAATTCCACCAGAAGTATCGATTTTAAAATTATTTGAACTATATCATCTTCATCCATTTCCTCTTCTTCTTCTTTACTAATTTCGTTTTGTTCATGCTTATCTATTTTATGTTGATTCCATTTAAGCTAATTTAATTTACATTATCATTTAATATTAAAGTCAGTTAGATGTATTTATATATATTATAGTAGCTTCGTTTTTAAAATAAACGACATTTTAAATAAAATATGTTTGTTGTTCATGATAATTTTTTTTTTCTTTTCTTTTCCGCAGAAAACCAGCATTCATGTGTTGTTTGCATGCATTCGAGTACCAAATTAGTTCGTTTGACTTTGAACCTGTTCCGATTGAGTATGAGAGAGTGGTTGGTGAACACGAACAATAACAATACATTTGTGGTCGAATGACGGTCAAACGAATGACCGACCGAGAAAAATCGGACTGTGAATTCGTGTATAACTTAACTGCGCGATGCTGGTGGTTTAATGACTTTGTGCTTAATGGATCAATCGAATTTTCCTACATATTTTTATATCTAAATTTGATTATTCGAAGATATAGATAGAATTTCTCTTACATTGAGATAAGCTATTCAAATAATTATTGTTTCGTATAACTTTTTTCATGATTTTTTTTCCCTTTCCTTTCTTCTCAGCTCTAGAATAAAATAAAACTTCGATTACAAACATTTGCGATTTTTTTTGGTTGCACCAAGATCAAAATGGAATGAAGTGTATGCAAGTGTGTATGTGAGTGTAAATGAAACAGATTCCATTTAAAAAGACGAAACAAATTTTCACAGTTTCATCCAAAATCATTCTCATTTTCAGTGTTAATCGATACGATTTGTTTGCCATTCTGCGTGCGTCAAAAATCCATATCTCGACCAAAAGATCATCAAGCCAATTTTGTGCTTGCTCTCAAGCAATTGCGTACGAATAGCTGTGACTTTTCGTCTAACAAATTCTAACATATTATTTATCACAAAGCGTTCGAGTGCAAAACGAAGCGACTCAGTTCGTTTATTGATTTAAATATTCATTTCCGTACAATGCACATCGTTGGGATCAATCGTTAGAAAATCAAAATTGAATTAAAATTCAATCTCGTCGCATTTTTCTTTCAATTTTGTGGATTCTTGCGCGGATAATCTGTGGTGATGGTCATGTGCCGAATGTCATTTTAAATATCATCGCATTCAAAATGCCGTCGCACTCACGACAAAAAAAACATAAAAAAAAACAAATTATGTTTTAGGTCGACATATCCCATGACTAATTTTGTGTGTGTATGGGTTTTCTATCTAAATGGAAAATTAACGCGAACCTTGTTTTAGTTCGTATGTCAGGTGGAAAGGAAATCATTGAATTTATACACCATTTGCTATATGAATGGCACGACACTGCACGTTGTTGCTGCATTGTGAATTAATTTAAGGTGTATGACATGGAATCGGTGGTGCTTTTGTGTGGCATAATTAACATATGCACGAATTTCTCTTTTTCTTTTTACTACCCCCAAAATGATGGTTTCCAATAAACAAGAATGCATTGAATACAATAAAATGTATAAAATTACAAATACAGAGGGACAAAAAAAATTCCCAAATTACACACATAAAGCACAGTCGACTCGAGTTTTTAATAAAACATTCCCTATTTACATGTAACCATTTCTATGAAATTTTCTTTTTCTTGCCTACAGATAGGTTTTCTTCACTTTTTGCAGTGTCCCAGTGTTTGTTGAATTCACAATGACAGCTTGTGGTGCAGTCTGATTGTTACAATTTGTATTATTGTTGGCATTCACTTTCAAATCGTTTATGTCTAGGTGTTCGGTGGAATTTTTGCACTCGTGACTTCGATCCTTCGTTTCGAATTCGAGTTCGAGAATATCTTTTTTGTCGAGATTGTTTGGCGTTTGGCAACCCGTATTGGTGAGTGTTGATCGACCGTTGACATTGTTCGGGCCACCGGCTGCAATGTATGGACCCATGACATTCATCAGCAAGTTGACATCTTTGCAGCTCGATGCATTTCGGCCGCCACCGGTTGATTTGTCGTAAAAGTTCAATTGATTTCGGTGATGTTCGCTCAAATGATGATGACTACTCCCACTGCCACCACTTCCACTGCGCAGAATATCGAACGGTGACTGAGAGAATTTGAATCGCTTGGACATAATGAATCCGAAGGCCAAACCAACAGCAAATACGATGAAAACAACCGTTGCAAATATTGGACTTGCCAAGCGCATTTGATTCGAATTGCTCGAATGAACGGCATCAAAATTGCGTGGCACAACCACACCGGTTTCACTGTCGTCATTGTCAAAGCCGTTGTCACTGACGCCAAAGCCATCATGCGGCCCATTTTGACTGGCATGTTCTACTTCATTTTCACGGTTGTCTGGTATTTTGCTATCGTTCAGATCGGCTGGCTCTCGGCCCACTGAGGAAACAGTTCCTCGGGTCGATAAAACGCTTGGTTGTGCAACCGGTTTCTCGCTACCAGTAACCAAATTGGTGGCAGCATTTCCGGTCGAAAGACTTCGACCCTTCGCCAGTGGAACTGGTGCGTCAATTCGATTTTCATTGTCATCGCCGCACATTTCGATCGTTTCCTTTCGCGATTGTCGAATGTTCTGGAGGAAATTCATGCGATTGTGCGATGATACGGTGTCTATATAGGTGCATTCATGATTCTTTGTGTCCCACACACAATATGGATCTTGTAAATTCAAGCACTCTCTGCACGACACTTTGTGTCCACAATGATGAATTGGAATTGATACGATGATGCCAGTGCCAATTACGACTAAGGATTGCTGCTCTTTGGTGACTGTCATTTGTTTTACGGGTAAACTTCGTGAAAATGCTTGTGTTTCGCTAATCACAACAGTTTCTAGCGTTGATTCGTCTGATTCTTGCTGTTCACCGGAACCATTTTGATTGGTTTTCGTATCGTTTGAAGCTGAACGCACGTAATGAATGGATTTGATTACGTGTCCGTTGTCGGTGCCAATGAAAATGATATCGTATTTATCTCCGTTCAATGCTTCCACCTGTGCATCGGTTGCGATGGCTGTGAAGCGATGCTTTGAAGTGACTCGTGTTAGTACTGGCCGACCATAGAGTGCTGGCACTGAAGATTCCATCAATGTGTGCATCTTCACAAAGTTCACCGTTCGCATCGGCAAATCACGGCTGTCATCGACACACTTGCCTGGCCGAGGCTCTGGCACTTCCGACGGCGGAATTGGCAACCAATTTGATGTTGCATCCTTTTGACCTTTGAAATTTCCTAAAGACAATTATGACAAACTATTAGAACTGCGTGTAAAATGTGAGAGTAATTGAAATCGGTTGTAAATTTACCTTCAAATGTATCGATAATGTCATCAATTTGGAAGGCACATACGGCTGATCCAGGAATTGCGTTCTGTGGCGTTGTAAATACAGCGTAAATCAATGAACTGGGCTTTAGGCCTTTTTGGCCAGATTTCTCGGAGTCTTCAGCTCTTGAGTGGGTGTGATAGTTGCGGATTTGTTGCTTTTGATTCAAAGCAGTCTGATACAAGCCATCGATGATGCTAGTTGTTCCCTCTGTTTAAATAAGAAATCAATATGATTAAGTAACAGGCGAATAAAATCCAAAGAAAAAAGTTGTAAAATACAACAGAAAAATCCTTTCGAAAAAAAATAAAATTCTAGGCAAAAAATTCCTCGAAAAGGACCGAAAGAAACATCAACTTACGAAGTTCATCAAAGTAAAATGGAAAATCCCCAGGTGTCGAGCAATTCAATCGTGTTTTCAGATACGAAGTCCAACGTTCACGGAATGGTGATGGGCCACCACGATCATTTTTGCACACGCGAGCAACTCTCGAATAGATAGTCTTTCCGCAATTTTCCAAAGCCAATTCACGGAAGAAGAAAAATACGTATCCGTTGCGTTCGAGAGTGCTAACAAATGACGGTTGGTTCAATTGTTTGGCATTGAATTGTTCCGTACGTTGGGTTTCACGATAAATTAGCGCGTCTCCGCCGGAGAAATCGGCAGCCGTAGCAGAGTACAATTGACCGTCTGTAAATAAAATAATTCCCAAATTAGAATCACACATCACCCAATTATATTTCAAAATCCAAAATCCAAAATCGTATTGGTGTTATCTTTCATTACCTGTGAAAATGTATGAGCTATTATGTGTTGGATTGTATGGGCATCGTCCTTGTCCATCGAATTCTTCAATCATCTCGAATGTTTCGCCCAATGAACCTTTCGATGCATTTGCAATCTCAATTTCCGTCGATGAGCTCAAAGCAGCCGTGCTATTTTCACTGGTTGTTGATACTTCCATTTCAACGGAGTCATCTTCATGTGACGCTGATGCGGCTAGGGATACACTTTGGCCATTTTTGTATCGGCGACACAATGGCTTATATGAATTAGTACCGCAAACCATTATTTTGTTATCATCAATGCGTGCAAACACACGTATATAGTTCTGACAGTCTGAATCTTGTTTTCCCTTCAATGTGCACAGTTCACGATGGGCTGGAGTTGACTCCCATTCCAAGCGTTGAGACTGATTCTCCAGTAAATTCTTTAAACTAACATTGTACATCGCATTTCTAGACCAAAGGGAAGGTAAAAAAAAAAAGCAAAGCGACATTGAGCAAAGGTTCACATTTTTTGCGCTCTGAACTATTTTGAAATTCTTACCGTGCTCCAATCAATACCGAACTCTCGTCCTGGTCCAAAATTTGGAAGTAATCGGATTGATTGCCGAAAAATACTGGCCATTTTTGATCTATGTGGAATTTTAAAGCATTGAATGAGTTATCATTTTGTATGAAGCCATTTATATGGATTAACTTATGAAAGGAAAAACATTTTGAACCTAAGAAATAAATTATTATTTCAAATGATGATATATGTTACATTCATTTTTCGCTTGGTTCAAATGGTTTCAATTCTAAGTCATGAGCTACTGAATCACTTGAAGTGAACGGAACGGAATGATTTGATCTGATCTAAAGAAGAAGAATAAAAAAAAACTCACCATATTTGATTTTAAGTGTTGGTGCAATATCTTGCGTCCATGCCTGAGCGTTGCTGATATGTTCGGTGGCAAATAAGCTCACAATCACGATTACAATATACCATGCATACAATACAACTGATGTTGGCATCATTTTTATACTTGGAAGATATGCCATTTTATGTTTTCTTAAAATAAATTCTGTTTTGTTTTTGTTTTTGTATTGCGTTCGTTGCAATGCGTTCACTATAAATATGTTTCAATTTGAGTCTGTATTACACTTCAAGGCACTTGTTGTGGTCACTTTGCTGATATGTTCATGTTTGTTAACTTAAGTCAGTCGATTCCTAATAATAAACTGAGAACTGTAATCGGTTTCACTTCCTTCAATATTTTAGGCAACGTGTTTTTATTCTGCAATAGGAGAGAAAGAATAAAAGTTAGTTTACTTAGTCAGATAGTTGGAAATGCACCAAAAAAAAATATATATATTTAGAAAAGTTACAAGTTGAATGGCTCAAAGTATAATATACGGTCGATGTCTTCAGTTTTATGGTTTAACAACAACTGTATACAGATGAATGTATGCCGACTGAATAAGATGCTCTTTTTTTTCTACTGGTTTTCAGACATAAAAACAAAGTGCAGTTTCTATGCACAGACCGGATATATGGATGGTTTTTCTTCCGAAAATATGCTCATGTCCACGGGCTAATTGTTTTTTTTTTCCCCTCTCTTTTGTTTTTTTGCTCAAGTTCTCACGACGCCGCGCACACACACAGAATGGCAACAGCATTTGGCATTGGGAATTACCCCAAAGCATAATTGTCCGAATAAGCATAATATGGCAAGGAGTGCTGCATAATTTTCGCACTAAAAATTACATTTATGACTAGTAGTCATATATGCAACAGTTTCCTGTGGTGCTTGGGAATTTTTTTTTTCTTGATCATCACTTGTATCTCGTGCAGCTCATCGCCGAAAACAGATATGTATCTGTATTATGTTTTTGCTATGAGATTCTTAAGGCGAGGCGACAAACAGATTAAAAAGTAAACGCAAGGTAGATAAAAGTTTTGTCGTTTTTCCTGAGCACTCAATACACACCAAGATGCGTTTTCATCGACGCCCCCCAAACCAAGAAGAAAAAAAAACGAAAAATATCACTTGGAATATACATGGAATTGGGTTCCAGACAATGCGCACAGGTATTTCGTTGGTTTGTTTTTTTTTTGTTTTCGTTTTCAAACAATTTGTTTGTGTCGCTATTTGATGTGCGTGTGTGTGTGTGTGAGCTTAGGTGTTTTACACATTGTTTTACATATTCAGCGATTCGAAAAATGGTATGGCATCGCATTAAATCATTCATGTGACGACAATGAAACCACCGCCCGTATGCAGACACATAAATTTGAATTCGGTAACACGCATAATTTACAATAAAAAATAGGCGATTTTCGATTATGAAAATGTGGTCGAAAAAAATGATCGTTTTTTGGTGTATATTTGTACGATTTATGGTTGTTAAATGCAAAATTTAACCGAGGATTGGGTAATCGCTTTCGCTCTACATCTTGTCACACTCTCGAGCACACACACACACACACACACCGGCGCGCGAATCAACACCGAAATTATGCCATATTTTTATTTATAACAATGAAATTCAAAACAGCACCACAAAGTGATACTGAAAGGGTTTCAGGTTTCATTGTCAGCAACTAATTTCAGGCAATTACCATTTTTTGTGTGTGTCGTTGTTGAGAAATAACAACGGACACATTTGAAGCCGCAAAAATGACGGATTTTCTATGTAATTCCATGAAGTAAATTAAACAAGCGATTCAACGTAACGGCTTCGAATTGGTGTTTATGTGCAAGTATCGATCGTTTTTCTTCGATCGAAGGGAGCGAAAAACAAAAATCATAAAAATAGTTGCCGATGTTGATAGATGGACGGCATCCTAGGGGCTTATGTGTCGTACGAATCAGTGTGAATCAGTGCGAATCTCACGAGTCATTTCAAAAAATGTAGGCAACTGCACGAATCTTACGAGTTTATATGAAGATTCGCGAGTCCTTTACGAGTCTCTCATATAAATTGGCGAATCACTGAACGAAACTATGAAATGTCAACGAGCATGCCAGTTGAACTCACAATTCACTCAATAATCGACTACTAAATCAACTTTTTGTAATTAAAAACATTTATATTGTCACATTTTGACTGCAAGAAAATTAAAATTAATACAAAATTTGAAAATGGTTGGTTTCGAAATGTTTTTTCATTTTTTTAAGGCAGACAACAATGTATTTGATGTTTGGGTGTTGAAATCCCGAGAAAAAACAGTCTTTGCTTGTCGATCGACTTTGGCTCTTATTTACATAGAGAATATCGCTGAAATTGGTGGAATTCATAAACGAAAATCGTGAAGTGTTAGTTGAATCTATTTATGAAAATATTACTCCATCCAAATTTTTGGCAGCGCATCGAATCTTCATACGGAATATGTCAAGTTATATAAATCAACTAAAAAATCGTGAATTTGAACACAAAATGGATTTATCACAATTCCCAAATCCATCAAAATGCTTCATTCAAACAATTCAATCTGATGAAAATAAAATTGTCGAAGCATTTTTTTTACACTGAACACATTAAGTCATTCTCCACATATATCCATATGATGTATGGCAAATCTTGTTATAAATCATTAATCGTTGACTTGCCCATTCCAAAAATAAGTGCAGTTCGTATGTTTCATAAAACATTTCGTGGATCTTAGTTCCATTGTCAATTTAATACATTTCATTTTCAATTCACATCTATTCCAGTTGCCTATATTAAACAGAATAAGAAAAGAATTATAGAACACAAGCTGAGATCCGAATGGTTTGCAATGTGTATATAAGCTGATTTGCATCGACTCGCGGATTTGCTATAAATGCCATATACATTTCTATGCTATGACTTGTGTATATATTTGTATGAATTCGTTCGAGTCTTCACGAATTTCCGTAAATTGGTGCGAGTCAGTGCGATTTCCTTGCAATTCAGCGCAAATTATTTTTAATTTACATGAAAATCATACGAGTCTTGCTGACTCGTGACGACAAATAAGCCCCTAGACGGCATCTATGTGACGACAAGCGATGTCATGTTTCTTTTTTTCGAGCAACATAATGAGATGAAAACATTGCATACCCATGCTTGACCAACAAACATAATATCATATGTATATCAAACTATACGAATACTCAATTTCAATGGTGCATTGGTTTTTCTTTCAATGTTTGGCAAACGTTGTTTGCCCTTTGTGTCCACGTTCGTATTCATTCACAGTGAAACGGAAGCAATTAATGCTAATTCATCGAGAATATTGATTTTAAAATGACTCACTATGGAAATTTTTTTTTTTTTTTTCACGCTTTTCGCAATAATGTTCGCATGTGTATAGACAATAGCCCATTCCGATTTGACATACAAAATTCACACAATATCTTTGATCTGAATGAAAGTTTAGTTGCTTTTGTCGTTTCAACTCGTAACTCTTTCTTGTGGCGAAATGATGTTGTGAATGGAAACTGTTTCGGTCGGCAGAAGATGACAAGATGGCATCGGTCATGTGATGGCATCAACACCATACAGTACCGATTGATAAACGGCACAATTAGCTAATAAATATGTGTGAAAAGCTAACATAAATGCTACGTTTAATGCAATTACTGCAATTGTGTTGGCCTGAGCAAACATTTCTGACGGCTATTTTCAACAAAAAAATGCGCACAGGAAATCGAATCATGTGTATGAATACACAATCCATGGCAAGTAAATGGTGATAAATTGTGAGTGCACACAACTTGGAGAAAATACGGTGATGATAAAACGATTGCGATGCATCATCGTTAGATTATTAGAAAAAAAATTCATTGTATAAGAATTTAATAAATTGACGGAACAACGGTGAATGTTTCATCAAGCACATCCACATAGCAGCCTGCATGGAGTTGGATATATGACGGAATTATGGAATCGGCTACCTATATGTTTGATGCACTAATGAATGTCTCATGTAATAAAGCATATACATCGGCCTGGCTGCCCATTTTTACCGATCATTCGGCTTACAATGGCCTGTATGCGTCGTCAATTATTTTAACACCACTGGCTGTTAGTGTTTCAATTATTTACCAATCATTTCGATGCAGTGGAAAAGCGAGAGAGAGAGAGAGGAGAGAGAGAGAGAGTAAGAAAGAGAGGGACAGAGCGAGAGTGAGCGATTGGAATCGTTGTGAATGGAGGCCAATCGGCAGCAGTAATGTTTCCATTCGTCGATACACACAAACAGTGCATATGCCCGACCCACTGAGATGGGATCAGTGCAAAGTTCTTCAAATTCAACCGTACCGAATGTTACAGTACACATATTCAGCAGGGAGTGCATCTTGCTTTATACGGCATGATAAACTGATCTAATCGCCATAGAGAGAATCGACACAATTTTTCAGCCATCGCCACTTTTTTCGAATTCCATCTATGCGAGCAACTCATATTCGACACGATAAATCGAACAATTTCGTCGCGCGATTCTCACAACCAAATGATTACCATGGCACAGAAGCAAACTCAATTCTCGACCGATTTAATTTAATAGCGATACACTTCGATGCCATACATTTGAGATAAGTTCAATTAAAATGGACAGAAAACGTAAAAAAGCAACAACAACTTGACGGTGAATGGTAAAAGCAGCGGCTTTTTTTTAACCTTAATATTATAATCGAACAACAAACTCAATTAGATGAATTCACGTTAAGTAACTGAATGGTGAAAAAGATATAGACAAAAAGATGAAATAATCCGACGAAAAGTGACATAGGACCGATGCGAGAGAGAAAAACCAGCAACAGCAGCAGTTAATCGAGTTGCTTTTATTTTCGTGCTAACGAGAAAGGAAACAAAATCGATTTGACAAGAACAGAAGAAACGAATGAAAAAAAAAACAACAACAGCCGAAACCATAAAAACAATAGAGGCAAAAGATCAAAACAACCCTACGTTCCGTGTACACGTACCGATGATGATGATGATGATGATGATGAACACCAAAATCCATTTCCGAAACGAACAAATTTTCAAAAGAAACATAAACCTCAGTCTAGAAAAACATTTTTTAAAAAAACGGAATCGAAAAAATGACATGGTTAACGAACGCCGAAAGAAGAGAGTGAGAAAAGGAAAGAAACGGAAAAATAAATGAGGTTCAAAATGCGTTAAAGCATCTCTTACATAAGCAGCGACAGAGGGAAATAAAAGCAGCGCGTCAAGTTGAAAAAGAATCTCAAATCAGCAGTCAATATAATGTAATTGTATTGCGATAAATGACGAAAGGAGCAAAGCACTGAATGGACAT